GCCACGAGGCACCTTTGCAGATTAGAAAAGGGCAGACTTCTTTAAGACATTCCATGCCCCCTGCTGGCAACTCTCTGTAATGAGAGTTGCCAGCTCTCATTGCCAGAAAGCTGCAAGAGCTTTGCCAGGAAAGATGCTCTCTTAGATGTGGCATTTCTCCGGTGCACAAGCCCCGCCACCACCCACAGTAGCCCTGTATAAATGGGCTCATTGCAGCCCCATGGCAAATATACTAGGTAGTGCCTTGTGGCTCTTTCGTTTGAGCCATTTACAGGAAGAAGGGGATGGAGGGAAGCAAAGAGGGAGTATCCGCCTAGAACTAATGGGACTGTGCTGGAGTGTGCCTGTTTGTTTTCTAGATCCCTGCTCTGGCCCAGGCAGGTTACCGGGTCATAGCTATGGACATGAAAGGCTATGGAGAGTCGTCTGCTCCTCCTGGTGGGTGCGCTGTCTTGAAGCTGTCTTGTGCTGGTCTTGCCTTCTACCTGCCTGAGCGCTCCATGCCTCAGTGCTTTCCCTGGTCCCAGATCAGAGTAGCCTTCCCCTTAAGAGAGTCTGACTTCACCTCTTTCCTCTCCTACAGTGCCCTGTGTCTCTGCACTTTGGGCCTCAGATGCCCCTGCCCCCACACTCTGAATGAATACAGCAGCCCCAAAGACCCACGCTCCAAGGGATCTCCCACTGATCATGGAGGATGGCGGACATAGAATGTACCATCCATCTCCAGAACATTCTTCATCTTGCAAAACTGAAAGGCTGTATTCAGTCCTCAGTTCTTCCTCTTCCCAGCCCCTGGCAACCCCCTTTCTACTTTTTGTCTCTATGAATCTAACTCCTCTAAAGACCTCATATAAGTGGAATCATACAGCATTTGTGCTTTTGTGCCTGGCTTCTTTCACTTAGCGTAATGTCCTACAGTTTCCTCCATGTTACAGATGGCACCACAATTTCCTTTCTTTTTTTTTTTTTTTTTGAGACAGAGTTTTCATTCTTGTTGCCCAGGCTGGAGTGCAATTTGGCTCACTGCAACCTCTGCAACCTCTGCCTCCCAGGTTCAAGTGATTCTCCTGCCTCAGCCTCCCAAGTAGCTGGGATAACACATGTGTGCCACCACACCCAGCTAATTTTTGGATTTTTAGTAGAGACCTACTTTGCTGGGTACATTTATCTTTCAGTTCTTGTAACTTTTCATGAATTATTTATTTGATTTTTTTTTTCTCTTGGATTTTCTCTATTTTTGTTCTTTTTCTTTTTGCTTTCTGGAATTACTATTGTTAAAATACTGTTATTGTTAAAATTGCTCGTATTTTTAAAAATCATACTACCCATTGATTTGGGTACTCATATGACCCAAAGCAATCTACAGATGCAATGCAATCCCTGTCAAAATCTCAATGGCATTTTTTACAAAGATAGAGACAGCAATTCTACAGTTCTTATGGACCCACGAAAGACCGCAAATAGACAAAGTGACCTTTAGAAAGAATAAAAAAGCTGGAGGCATTTGAAGCACACTTCCTGATTTCAAACTATATTACAAGTCTATAGTATGATACAAACAGTGCGATACAAACATAAAGACAGACGTAGTTCAGTGGAACAGAATAGAAAGCCCAGCAGTTGATCCACATGTATGTGGTCAACTGATCTTTGATAAGGGTACCAAGAATACACAGTGGAGAAAGGACACTCTCTTCAAACGAATGGTGGTGGGGAAACATGAAAAAGAATGAAATTGGACCTTTATCTTACACCACACACAAAAGTCAACTCAAAATGGATGAAAGGCTTAGATGTATGACCTGAAACTGTACAGCTTCTAGAAGAAAACACAGGGGGAAAGCTTGACATTGGTCTTGGCAGTGATTTCACGGGGGGATATGACATCAAAAGCACAGGCAACAAAAGCAAAAATAAACACTAAGGCTTTAGTAAGTTTTTGTGGGTTTTTTTTTGTTGTTGTTGTTTGGTTTTTGGTTTTCTTTGCAAAACGGCCCTTTTGATGTGTTGATATATTTTAAGTAATGTGAATTAAATATGTTTCTTTTATTTTTAATTGCAGAAATAGAAGAATATTGCATGGAAGTGTTATGTAAGGTAAGAAGGATCTTGGGTGACATCTTCCCCATCCTGTTTTTTTTGTTGCTATAAACCCGAAGCTGGGGTATCCATTCAAATTTTAGGGAAACATCATTTCATAGCCTCTGGGTATAAATTCCTACTGAAAGTAGAACAGTATTTCCGATTGAGAGCCAATATGTATGCAGCATTGACTGTGTGCCAGGTCTTCCTTCAAGCAATTGACAGAAGAGAAAACTGAGTCAGGGGAAGTTAAAGGTAGTTGCCTGAGGTCAACAGCCAGTAGAGCCATTTTGGAAGCCTGCAGTACTGCATTCGATTGCCTCACCATCTAGAGCATTGAAAAAAGTCACTTTATTCTGGTAAACACGTTGTTGGCCAGACCTAGGCCAGACCTCTGCAGACTGGTGACCAGCATGGAGCTCTAAGACGGGTGTAAGCACCATCCTGTAGAGGGGCCCCTCACTTCAGTACTGGCAGGGGAGGCCAAGGCCAAGGCCAAGGTGAGGAGAGACTGGGTCCCAAACCTCCATGCAGCTCAGGAGCAAAAGCAAAGGCTGGGGGAGCCCAGGGGAGGAAACAGTCCCCAGGTTGACTGGGGAACTAGTAATGCTGCTGGTGACACGGGGATTACAAAAGCCTCCATCTCTGAGTCACAGCCCTGGGGGGGGCTCCTCCCCCTCATGTGTGTCCCCCAGCTTCATGTGCTGGCTTTGGCATCTCAGAAGCAATCATGAGTAAAAGTTCCGTTTCCAGGCAGGGCTGCTCCTCCTTCCTCAGTTTCCCAGTCTTTGCCTCTTGCACTCTGCTGCTCCTGATCCCAAGTGTCTCCCCCAAAGTCCTACCAAGGTCTCACCAGTGACCCCAGGAGCCCCTATCCTGCTGTTGTCCTCTAACCTGGACCTTGCTTATTTCCATCAAAATCCATTCTTGAGACAGGCACATTGGGTCACTTAGGAGAACTAGTCTCTTGAAGAAAGTCCTTTTACCAAAAACAAACAAGATGGTGCTCCCATCCTCCTGTTCCAACTTTGAAAAATCATGAGTACATCCACAGCTAGGTATTTACCCAAGAAAATCGATGATATATGTCCACAAAAAAAAACCCAGATACAAATGTTCACAGCAGCATTATTCCCAACAGCCAGAAATGGAGACAACCCACATGTCCATCAGCTGATGAATGGATAAATAAAATGTGGCCTATCCCTACAGTGGGACACTCTTCAGTTGTACAGAGGAATGACGTGCTGGTGCAAGCTTCAGCAGGAATGAACCCTCGAAAGATGATGCTCAGCAAAAGAAGCCAGTTTCTGTGTCAGGACCGTGGGTGGTGGGGGCAGGAATGTGTTGTCCCCGGGATGGAACGAGCCTCTCACTGCTCCCCTGCAGCAGCACGGGGGCAAGCTCTACAGGGCAGCTGTCTTCCATCCCCCTCCAGGGAAGAGCCCAGGCTTGCTGTCTTACAGTGGTGATGGGATAGTTAGGGATATGTATTGGTGTACACTGAATAATTCACTGTGCATGTTTGGAGTCAGCTTGGTTCCTGAGAGGATGCTAGGAAGGAAGGGAAGGGTGATGTTATGAAGGCTGCTGAATGATGGATGGCTGCACTACTCAGCCTGGCTGCTGTAACAAAGTGTCACAGACCAGGCAGCTTCAATAGATGTTTGTTTTCTCACAGTTTTGGAGGCTGGAAGTCCAAAATCAAGGTGTCAGCAGGGTTGGTTCTCCTGAGGCCTCTCCTGGACTTGTAGATGCTGCCTTCTTCCTGTGTCCTCATATGCGCGTCCCTTCGTGGGTGTCTGTGTCCTAATCTCCTCCTCTTCTCTTTTCATTTCTTTCTTTCTTTTTTTTTTTTTTTTAAATATGAGACAGGGTCTCCCTGTATTTCCCAGGCTGGTCTCCAACTTCTGGGCTCAAGGGATCATCCTGCCTCGGCCTTCCAAAGTGCTAGGATTATAGGTGTGAGCCACTGCGCCCAGCCTAATCTCTTCCTCTTCTTCTTTTTTTTTTTTTTTGAGACAGAGTCTTGATCTATCACCCAGGTTAGAATATGGTGGCACGATCTTGGCTCACTGCAACCTCCTCCTCCTGGGTTCAAGCGATTCTTCTGCCTCAGCCTCCTGAGGAGCTGGGATTACAGGCGCCTGCCACCGTGCCTGGCTAATTTTTGGGTTTTTTTTGTTTGTTTGTTTGTTTTTTGAGATGGAGTATCACTCTGTCGCCAGGCTGGTACGATCTCGGCTCACTGCAACCTCCGCCTCCCAGGTTCAAGTGATTCTCCTGCCTCAGCGTCCCGAGTATCTGGGACTATAGGCATGCACCACCATGCCCAGCTAAATTTTGTATTTTTAGTAGAGGTGAGGTTTCACCATGTTGGCCAGGATGGTCTCGATCTCTTGACCTTGTGATCCGCCCACCTCGGCCTCCCGAAGTGCTGGGATTACAGCCTTGAGCCACTGTGCCCGGCCTAATCTCCTCTTCTTATAAGGACTCCAGACGCATTGGATTAGGGCCCACCCATATAATCTCATTTTACCTTAATCACCCCTTTAAAGGCTGTATCTTCAAAAACAATCCCATTCTGAGGCCCTGGGGCTTAAGACTTCGACACAGCATTTTTGGGGAGGACACAGTTCAGCCCATCATAAAGGCTGAGGCAGGCGGGTGCGGTTGCTGATTTTGCCTGTGTGTGTCTTCTTTCTTAGGAGATGGTAACCTTCCTGGATAAATTGGTAAGTCATTATTTTGAACTGATATCTTTGGAGAATTCCTTTGGGACCTGGGTATTTAAAGAAAAGGCGTCAGCCTCGAGCAGAGGTGCACGGGCAGGGAGGGCACATTTGGGGGCAGTCGAGGGCAGAGTGGACATGGGCAGCGAAAATCACAGAAACAGATGGCAAAGAGCAAGGAGGAGATTAGCTTGTTTCTTTGTCCTTTAATGAAGGGCAGGTTCCAGGGAATGGGACCAGGGAGGACAGCCTTGAGTATCAGGTAGAGAAGTTTGGAAAATACCCCATAGGCTAATATTTCCCATCTCTTTAAACTTTCATCCCTTCTGAAACTCCTAGAACCTACTGCTTGCATTTGACATTGTCGGGAATGTCAAACTCAATGATACCAAATGAAAGCAAATCAGCAGTAGTGAGCTGAGAATGTGCTTTTGCTGAGTACACTTCCCACTCCCAAGACTGCATGGTATAACAGCCTCCCCTTCCCCAAGTGAGGTCAGTGGGGCAGAATGGACGGAGGGGTCAGGCTCAGCCAGGACAGCAGCAGTGGAGGACAGGGAAGGACTGTGGAGCTGTGGGACTTAGGGCCTCTTAATTGGATGTGGGAGTCAGAGAGGATCTAGGACGCTGACCTCTGGTTCACCAGCGGGGCGCTGTGCCTGACACGGCAGGGAAGAGACTGTGAGGATATCATGGTCCCTGCCCTCTGCGGATTCTCAGTTTCCTGGGATTAGGTTTGGAACTCTTGTGTGTGATGGGGACAGGGAACAGGGCATGGCCCAGAGTGGCCATCCAGTCCTGACTCTGTACAGTCTTCTGTCTAGAAGGGTGCCCCTTATTGTTAAGAGAGTGACTCTGTGGTTGCTGCTGGCGGAGTCAGTGTGGAGGGAGGTGTGGATAGGCTCTGCTAGCTAGGTTTTGCTCTGTGACGAAAGCACCTGACACATTTCTGAGAATGTGTCTCCCTTGTTAAGCGACACGTGGCTATAGCTGCTCCATGAAGAGGCGTTGACGTTGTCATTGTCAGTACCTGCAGCAGAAAAAGAGAGATTAAAGATGCTTTGGGACTTTTAATGGTTGTTTAAGGGAGGAGAGCTTCCAAAAAAAGTAGGGTTTTGGGGGGTAGAAGCATAATCATTTGATAAAAGATGTACTTGGAACATGAAGAGGTAAGTTATAGTTCTTTTAAGATAGAAGAGAGAAAAAAGGAGAAAAGAACGAAGGAAAACTTGATTTGAGAGAAGGTAGAGAGGGAGAAGGAACCCATGGCCTGTGGCCTCGGTCTCCTAAGCAGATGTAAAAGGCTGGCTATTTGTGTTGAGGGTCTGTGGCTGGTGGAGGGAGGAGAGGTTTGAAGGGTGGGCATTTGGAGAGCTGCTGTGGGTCGGGGGAGGAGGCCCTGGTGTCAAGGGGCTGGCTGAGGGCTGAACCTCTTAGCACCCCATTCCAGAAACCTCCTCACATTCGCCTCCCTTCTTTTTCCTTCTCTAGGGCCTCTCTCAAGCAGTGTTCATTGGCCATGACTGGGGAGGTGTGCTGGTGTGGTACATGGCTCTCTTCTACCCCGAGAGAGTGAGGTAATTGGGCCTCGGGCAATAAGGATTTGGGGGAGGCTGGACTTGGGCTCCTGTGAGAATTGTTCCTCAGATCTTTAACCCCAGAAAACTTCTCAAAAACAAGTAGGTAATCTGGGAAGGTGATGTCTTCACTCTTTAGTGTCTGGTGACACATTGAAAAGAGGGCCTAGCCAGGCATGGTGGCTCATGCCTGTAATCCCAGCACTTTGGGAAGCTGAGGTGGGTGGATCACCTGAGGTCAGGAGTTCGAGACCAACCTGGTCAACATGGTGAAACCCCGTCTCTACTAAAAATACAAAAAGTAGCCGGGCATGGTGGTGGGTGCCTGTAATCCCAGCTACTCTGGAGGCTGAGGCAGGAGAATCGCTTGAACCCGGGAGGTGGAGGTTGCAGTGAGCCGAGATCATGCCATTGCACTCCAGCCTGGGCAACAAGAGTGAAACTCCGTTTCAAAAAAAAAAAGGGCCTAATGAGCTAATGTGTTAGGAAGCAGCACCTGTTCCACTTACAGGCCATGGGACAGATAATTCAGGGCCCGAGTGGAATGCAGGAGGATAATGGCTGAGCTTGAGGAGTGCAACAGGTGTGTCTTCAGTACTGGACTGAAAATCGGAAAGTGTGGCCCTCAATCTGCCCTGATCGGCTGTGTGACACATCACTGCACTTCTTAGGCTTGGGCTTTCTCAACCACAGAGTGGTAATGGTAACTCCTGCCTGACTCCACAACCAGAAAATGCTGTGCAAATGTCCAGTGAGCCCAGCATGTCATGGTCCCCACCATTTCATTCATAATCATTCTTAGACCAGCATTTCATGGCTTGAGTGAGAGCTATCAGATGGCAGGTTTTGGGCCCAGAGACTCTGTAGTCTCTGGCCGTTTGAGCTGGTGAGCTGCAGTTAAACCTGACTTCCCATTTCAGCCTCTGATCTTAGCAAGTTAAAGAAACATCATCCTTATTTCCCATCTGAATTTCCCTAACTAACCCAGTTATTTTGTATTTGGCTAAGTTTCTGAGATTGGAACTACCAGGAAACTTTGTTCTGCTTCTCTCCTGGCTCAAATGATAGGATTATATCAAAGAATAAAAAGAATCAAATGTTTCCCCAAGTTTTCATGCTATTGTTGTGTTCATCTCTCCAGCTTTTTAAAAAATTTCTTGTGGGTACATAGCATATTCTAGCTTCTCCCTCTCTCTTTCTCTGTCCCCTCTCTCATTCAAAGTGGAAATAAGAGCTTGGTTCTTAAGAATTGGGTTCACTAAAAAGTTACCCTACAAACTGCACAACATACTGGTTAAAGCGAACAAAAGGAAAGATAGCAATGAGCTGTGTTTACCCCTCAAATTCACCCCCTTTTCTATTCCTTTTTTTTTTTTTTTTTTTTTTTTTGAGACAGGTCTCACTCTGTTGCCCAGGCTGGAGTGTAGCTGCAAGCTCTGCCTCCTGGGTTCAAGTGATTCTCCTGCCTCAGCCTCCCGAGTAGCTGGGACCACAGGCGTGCACCAACATGCGTGGCTAAATTTTGTATTTTTAGTAGAGACGAGGCTTCATCACGTTGGCCAGGCTGGTCTAGAACTCCTGGCCTCAAGCGATCCACCCAAAGTGCTGGGATTACAGGCATGAGACAACTACGCCCATCCATGTTTTCTGTTCCTTTTGTTAGCATTCTATTCCATCTTCGGGTGATAAGTCAGTGGTCTACTGGCTAGATTCCTGGCTTCTGGCCTCTCTGTGTGCGTCCATATGGTCTATTAGTGCTTGATTAATCTTCCTGACTGCTCCCTCTGTGTCCACGTGGTCTCTAAGGGCTGGATTAATCATCCTGACTGCAACTCGAATCCACCCTCCCTTCTTCTGAGAAGCCCTCATGGTTTTCTTGGTTCTTACAGCATCAAATTCAGACTCAGGGCCCTTCATGTCTAGGCTCCCTACTGCCTTTCTGCTGTTATTTTCCAACATATCCCATTCCATGCTTGGCTTCTAACCATTCTGACTCTGTGCTCCATTGAACACAGCTGCAAGCTTTGCCCCCTTCTAGAATTTGCTTAGGCTACCTCATGTTGTTCCCCTCCCAGGCCTTGTTCCCCTCCCCAACTCTCCCCATTCTGAAAAGCCAAGTTCAAATGCTCCCTTTTCCACAGGGTCCTCCATGGCGCCCAGTTCAGGAACTTCTTATCTCCTTCCAACTCCCATGCTATTTTGTGCTGTTCTATGGCTCATGTCACAGTCATTTCATAAGGTCATTGTGTGTTTTTCTATTTCTCCTTATTAAATTATAATGAGCTCCTTGAGGATAGAAACGATATTTTTATTCATTTTACATTTTCTCTCCTCTAATATATACCATAGAATTATGCTCAATCCAGAGGAGACACAATGAGTGAACAAAGGGAGGAAAAAAATGAATGCATATTTTAAAACTAGAGAGAGATTCATGTCTCCATATTCTATTCAGGGTTGCTATAGTATGTGTAGTGTGTGTGTGTGTGTGTGTGTGTGTGTGCATGTTCCTATGTGTCTAAGGCAAGTTGGTGAGAAATACTGCAGTTTAGTGGGGGGAAAAAAAGCACTGAACTAGGAATAGAAAATCCTGAGTTCTGATGTTCTGATCCCATTCTCCCGTTCACTGCTAGTGTGTGACCTTGTGCATAGAATGTTCCCACTCTGAGCTTCAGTTTTGAACTTCAAAGTCCTTTCTGGCTTTTGTAAGACTGTCTTCTTACAGGGGCTATATCTTGCTGCCTCTTATTTCTGTAGGGCGGTGGCCAGTTTGAATACTCCCTTCATACCTGCAAATCCCAACGTGCCCCCTTTGGAGAGTATCAAAGCCAACCCGGTATTCGATTACCAGCTCTACTTCCAAGAACCGGTAAGTGTGGCACCAAGGGCAACAACGGGAGCATTCGTGTTTGCCTTTCCCCTGCCTATCTCCTTCGCGTTTGCTTTATCTCTGTCCCCTTCAATTTTATGTGGCATTAGTCAGAAACAGTTTTACAAATGGGCTCAGGTGAAACTGGCTGCCGTGCCCAGCTGGTCCTTCCCAGGCAATGGCACATTTCCGTGTGTGTTCGGGTGGTGAAGGGCCGGGGGATGTTGTACCCTTGAGGGGTGGCTTCTCCGGTGTCTCTGCAATTGCAGAGTTTTGGGGGCTCAGTGCTCAGGTAGAGCCACCCCTCCTGGTTCTCTGGCTGAAAGGCTGGTGATGATGGCACCAGGGTCAAAGAGTCCTGCAGCAGGCCCCACGTGTGCTCTGAAGAATCTGAGAAGTTTCTTGGTATTAATATATGTGCCACGAAGATGCCTTTCAGAGATGCCCCTGGACGTGGCTGATATGTGTATTGGGGCATCCCTGCCACCGTTAACTGGAATGGAATTCACTGAGAGCAGCATCAGGAGTCAGCGTCACCTGGCCTGGTGCCCCCGCTGCAGCTGCCCCTCTGTGGGCATCCACTTGCGGGAATTATCCAGAGAGAATAAAAGATGTTTCCCGCACACTCCAGAGAGAGAGGAATGGAAGTAATTAATTAATCAGGTCCTCTCCCAGCCTCCACCTCTTATCCTCTTAGGAGGGACCATTTCCAGCAAGACCACAACCATCCCAGTTGTGATTCAATGAGTAACTCTTCTCCAACAGTTATTTTCATTAATGAGACAGCATCTGTGTGAAAGGAGCTTTGCGATTCAGGCAATAACTGGACTCATTCACCAAAAGCTCCCAGCAGCATTTTGAAGAGACCTCAGCACGTCGCATCCCACATGGCCGCATCCGGCGGGGAGGCCTGGGCCCTGATGTGCCACAGCCTGGGGTGTGGGAATCCACGAGCTTCCTTTGGCCTGAACGAAAGCACCATGTCCTTCATTAGTGTGAGACAGTCTCGATGGTGAGACTATGGGTATGGTGTGTGGTGTAGAGGGCGTATTACTTTACTGGGGCTGCCATAACAAAGGCTAGGTAGCTCAACAGACTGGGCAGCTTCAACAACAGAAATTCATAGTCTTACAGTTTTAGAGGCTGGAAGTTCAAGATCAGGGTATTTGTCGAGTTGGTTTCTCTTGAGGCCTCTCTCCTTGGTTTGTGGGTAGTCCTTGTGTCCTCGTACAGTATTTAGCCATTAAAATTTTTTTTTTTTTTTTTTTTTTGAGACAGGGTCTCGCTGTGTCACTCAGGCTGGAGTGCAGTGGTGTGATCATAGCTCACTGCAGCCTCGACCTCTCCAGGCCCAGATGGTCCTCCCATATCAGCCTACTGAGTAGCTGAGACTACGGGTGCATGCCACCATACCTGGCTAACTTTTTGTGTGTGTATTTTTTATTTTTATTTTATTTTATATTTTATTTTATTTGAGACGGAGTCTCCCTCTGTTGCCCAGGCTGAAGTACAGTGGCGCAATCTCGGTTCACTGCAACCTCCACCTCCTAGGTTCAAGCGATTCTCCTGCCTCAGCCTCCCGAG